GTTCATATTGGAGAAAGGTGAAGCAGCTTGCAAAAAAAAATGACAATAAAAATACACTTCGCCACGATTGCTATGCAAAAAAACAAGATTTTGCATTATTTATTGGTGTGTACGAGTGTGCTCATATATCAATTTCTAATAATGAAACAACTGGCGAGACAACACAACAGTTCGGTTCAATTGCGAGACAACAGGTAAGCAATACATAGTTGGGCCAGGGTGAAAGCCTCCAAGCACTAAAAGCGTCTAAGCTAGCCAAGGTGAGCATTTCCTAAATTTATCAGCTCATTTTTTGCGTATTCCAAGGATCACTCAGGATAGCTGTAGCAAGTGAAGCACTTTGGTCTAGAACTTTCAAAATTACAAAATTTAATAAGTAGTTTTCCCCAATAGGTTCACTGATTTCTTCATAATCATAATCTGGAATAGTTTGTTGAAATTCGCGCTATAGATGGGCTGTTTGCTGGGAGGCCCCCATAGATTGGTTGAATATTAGCTCAGCATAATTGTCTCATGCTTATTGTAAGAGCATGGGGCTTAAAGCATACTGTATCATTTTTACCCAAATTGGGAGATCACAAGCATTGTGGGAATGAATTGCATACATCATATCAAAAAACCAGTCGTAAACAGCGTAACCTACATCAGGCAGCTCCATTTTGCAAGTCTGCTCCCCTCGGAAGGTTGCTCGCCATGATTTCTCATAGCAAAGGGTCCGCTCAGTGACAGAAGACAGTCTACAAACATGATGGGTACATTTTTGTGTTTCAGAGAGGAATATGTTCCTTTGGAAGATATCTGGCCGGATCGAATAGATGTCTTCACATTGTTATGTTCGGTAAAGTGATGACTATTAAAGGTTACCCAGCAGTTGCATGATCACACAGATTACGCTGGTAGTTGTAATCATATTAATGGCTTATTGGATGGGAATGCTATGCTATCGGACGTTCAAAAGTGAAAGGATCAGCGGTGGTAGAGGTGACTCGCTTGATGCCTTTATTGTATTTAAAGAAGTCTTAATTATTCAAGCTGCGGTAGTAGATGAGCTATCGCCAACAACTGCCCAATATATAAAAGAAATGAAATATTTTGGTGAAGAAGAGCGTAGCGAGTCGACACCGTTAGATTGGAAGATCGAGCGACCCGAACATTTGCGTTCACAACGCCGAATAAGTTCCTCATCCAGGCGGGGCTCAAAACGTCCAAAGCAACCAATACTCTCAGATGTGGCCATGGGCAAGGTTATTAGGTAAGCATTTGTACAGTTTAACCTGAAACCTTTATTTACCCAAGTGCTCTACAGCCTTAATGATGCAGAGAAAGGTATACTTCCAATTGAGACAAAAAATACTGAAGAAGTAAGTTTATAGACGTTTTAGCACTAACACTATTGGACCAGCTAATTGTGTTTAGCTCTTAACTCGGCCAGTTCTGAATGTTATATGGGAGCCTACAAAAGAGGACCAGGTCTTGGATACCCAGGTAAGAAAGGATGTAGTCTAGCACAGAGAATTGCTCTTAATACAGCTGTTTTAGGAAGAAAGCGAGACTCCCAAAAAGCGCAAAAGTTGGTATTATTGAAAAAAACTGGCTAAACATTCTCTAGATAGACAAAAAACCATTTTAGGGCAGCTAATATCATCTACACCCGTCATTTTGAAGAAACCGAGTCCGTCAGGACGCGGCCAAACTACTGAGGCAAATTTTCAGCATTCTTTTTTTCAGAAAAAAAGGATTTTAAAAAATTTTGTGATTTTAGCCTGTCTTGGTCAATTTGTACTATGAACCTGGTGAAGGAGAATCTGTGGAAGTAACTTTTAATCTTCTAGTTCCGTTTTAGCTTACCGAAAGCTTACCATTTCCAGATCTCCAAAACAGGAGAGGATTTTCCGAGCGTTTCAGAAGAAACAGCTATAGCCCCTTCTACTGATGTTGTTCCATCTGTCAGCTTAACGACAACGAAGAAGCGAACACGAGTTTCAGAGCCTAGTCCAGGTTACACTAAGAAGGTTACTGAAACAATAACCACAACAAAAGAAATCAGAAGAGCACAACCAATGTCCACGCCAGAGGGAGAGGAAGGTTTGAAGAGATATAGAGACAAATATAACTTCTTCATTGAAAGCGATAAGTCCTGAGACTCCTATTTTAGGACAAATCAAGTCGAAATCTCCAGAAAAGCCCAAAGTAGGTAGAATCGCTTTGATCTTTAATCTAGCATTGATAAAGATAAGAATTGAATATAGGAAAAGAAGAAAAGGGTAGGAAAAGTGCTAGCACTCTCGTCAGAAACTATAGGCGAACAAATTAAGAAAACGGTAAGCTCATATAGAGCATTCACTCATTCATTCGCCTCATTAAGCTTGTTTCATTTTAGAATTTTAAATCGGGGAAACCTACGAAAGTCTATACAGTCCCAGTTCCTCAAATTCCTGCAAACTGTCCACGTGAGCCGGTGGTACTCATGACTCCACAAGCCACGCAGAGGGAGACACCCACTCCCTCTACAGCGGATAGAATGATGACCAAATCCTTTACTGGAAGCGAAAAACTTTCTCCAGGGTTGAGTGATATAAAGGCTGATAATTTGAGCGAGGACATGACACAAGCATCCGATTCAGCCACAGCTCGATAAATTCTCAGATTTCTTATGAGTGAGTAAAACCTTTTATTGAGAATTTTCACCTTTGAGTTCACAAATTTGTGTTTAGGTAAAAGGAATTAAGTGATTTGGAACAAGGATACTAACAGATCTCGTGTTAATAAACGAATTTTGTCAACTTGTGCTTAGAAGAAGTTCATAGAGGAGAAAATGAAAATAGACGACATCAAGAAGTATCGCACCTAAACGGCCTATTTTATGATTGAAATGCCTGAAAAATATGCGCAGCAACTCGATCGATAAATGCCAAAAGTATCCCAACAAATTCACATCGAAGAACGGAACTAAAGCAAAAGCGTAAAAGGAAGTGATGCTGCTTTCCTATGGCAATTATACAGTTAAAGAAGATCATGGATTACGTTACGTGCTAGCTCATCCATTGCACAAAAAAAGAACTAGTAAGACAACCTACTATGAGAATATTTAACTACACTGTTTCCTCAAAATGCAGAGCTA